TATCCAACTCGAACTAGATGTTCGTGTCCTTTCATTCCCACGTGATCTCGCACTCACGGCTCTGATTTCAGCTGCGAGAATTCGATCGTGTTCGAACTCTGTATGAAAAGTATCTCGAGGTATGTCGTGGTCATCGTCTCTCAAAATCTGATCCTGAGACTCGATCTTAGTTTGACCCTACCAACTCCGCGGCTTGGATCAAGTTTTCAGAGCTCGAGACACAGCTCGAAGATTTCAACCGTACTCGCGCGATCTTCGAGCTTGGTGTCGCCCAGTCTCCCTTGTCCATGCCTGAACTCCTCTGGAAGGCCTACATCGATTTTGAGATCGATGAGGGTGAGCGGGAAAAGGCTCGCGCTCTGTTCGAACGCCTCGTCGCCCTCAGTGGCCACGTCAAAGTTTGGATGTCTTACGCCGCTTTTGAAGCCGAACCAATTCCGATTCCTCGGGCACAACGAGAAGACGAGGGAGAGGATGATGAAGAAGCGGAAGTCAAGATGGTGGAGGGCGATCCAGACCTCGCGCGTCAGGTGTACGAGCGAGCATATAAGGACTTGAAGAACAAGGGTCTGAAGGACGAGGTATGCATTACATCTTCCCGTTCGTCAACTTTAATCTCATCATTTTTGAACAGCGTGTCGTGCTCCTGAAACATTGGGAGACTTTCGAGAGGGAACGCGGCTCCCAGACTGGTCTGGCGAAGGTGCAGGGTATGATGCCCATCACCACCAGGAAACGGCGGACAGACGAGGAGACTGGACAGTTGGTGGAAGGTACCGATCCCTTTCTCTCCATTATCGAACTAGGGCTCACTCCTTACAGAACATGTTATTTCATTCCCCGACGACGAACGCGAAGCTCACCCGACTTCGTTCAAGTTCCTACAGATGGCCCACGCGTGGAAAACCTCACAGGCGAAGAAGCCAGCCGATGTTGCCGCAGTTTCCGTTCCTCCCAAAATTGCGCAGGCAGATGAGCAGATGGAAGAGGATGCGAGTAGTGATGTGGCCAGCTCTCATGGCGGAGAGTGATCGTTCCCGACAACCGCCATCGGCGCGAGGACTCGAGCCTTATCCTGCCAAGTCGTTGAATCCGAGAAGTAGCGTACTTACTCTTGACGGTCTGGCCTATGGCCACTTGACGACATGATAGAGGGCTGGATACTTGGTTGATACAGCTTAGGTAGAATTTTATCTTTAAATTACGCCAGTTGGGCATGCAATCATGCAATCATGCTAAAGACCCACATATGTGTTCATTAAGAAGTGAGTGGTCTGAGATGTTCTAACTTCTGGGTAAATGTGTGTATAGAAATGATAATATCTACTGTATAGTACATTATATTGGGTTGAGTTGCAATTCCAAGGTTGTAACACAAAAAAAGAATAAGCTATGTCAAAAGCAAGCTGACAAAACAAAAACATATGATGAGAGTGGGATTCGAACCCACGCCCCCGAAGAGACCAGATATCATACAGTTGTAACAACCTTAGTCTGGCGCCTTGGACCGCTCGGCCA